GGTCTTGGTCCGTGCTGTTAGTCTGGGACTCTCTCTCCCTCTCTCTCTGCCCCTCCCCGACGTGTGTGCTCTTGTGCTCTCTCTCTCTCTCAAAATAAATAAGTAAACATTTTTTTTTTATAATTTTTTTTTTCAACGTTTATTTATTTTTGGGACAGAGAGAGACAGAGCATGAACGGGGGAGGGGCAGAGAGAGAGGGAGACACAGAATCGGAAACAGGCTCCAGGCTCTGAGCCATCAGCCCAGAGCCCGACGCGGGGCTCGAACTCACGGACCGTGAGATCGTGACCTGGTTGAAGTCAGAAGCTTAACCGACTGCGCCACCAAGGCACCCCAAGTAAACATTTTTTAAAAATTCAAAAAAATCCACAACATGTGAAAGATATATTGTCTTTGGGGGCCACTTTATACTCCTGTTCTGATCCCCCCTAAACTATTAGTTATATCTTGTTGGAAAAGTTTGAAAAGAACTACCCAAGAAATTAGGGTGTGTCATCAACATTCTCTTCCTGTCTTTCCAAAATTGGGATGAAATTGGACGTTACCAGCTTTTTAATGTTGTGAGAGCCATCTGATGATGTCATTGTAATTGATCATTTAGACTGGGTTACCCAATGTGTAATAAGACTCAAGGCAACCAGAGCTCCCTATGATAAACGGAAGAGCTTTAAGGAGGTGTGGAGATGAGCCAGGATTTTTCCCTTTAACAGTCTTTATTGAGTGCCTCTTATGTATTGAGAGCTGTTCTGGAAACAGTAATAAAGCAGTGAACAAAACAGATAAAGGCCTCCTTCTCCTGGAGTATAACAGACCTGAAGCATCCCAAAAGTGCTTTACCTGCTGGGAAGAAAATAATGCAGGAAAGTGGTTACAACCTGCTTGGTGTGGGAGACATTGATGACTTCTGTGAGGAAGTGACATTCGACCTTAGACCTAAAAGGGAGAGGAAGCAGTCGGAGGAAGATGAGGGAAGTAGCAATGGCAAGTGCAAAGCACCTGAAACAAACTGGCCCTTTTGAGGAACAGAGAGAAAGCCAGTGTGGGGATGAGGGGGAAATCGGTTGGAGAGAAGGTCAGGGAATAGGCCATATGGGGTTCTATAAGTCATGAAAAGGAGTTTGGCTACTATTCTAACTATAGTGAGAAGTTACCAGAGGGTCTTAAGCTGGGAAATGTCAGCATTGTCCAGACTTAACCAAATAGTAAAACCATCTCTTCCTGGATAACTTGTCTAAAAAGGATATTACAGCTATGGATATGCGTGGAGATCAACCAAACATGGAAGAAGGGCCTCAGTGACAACTGACCTCACTTAAACATGAGAGGAGGACAAAATGGTAGCCAGGAGTGTTAAAAGGATTTAGGGATTATGGCTTTTAATAATGAATCAAAGTTTTAATTTTGTTAAGAAGAAAAATGTTTTTTCTGTTATGTATTCCAGAAGGAATTCCCATTCAAAATAACTGAAAAAAGTCTTGGTTGTGTACAACAATAAGCCTTTTAAGACACATATGGAAAATTCATCTATTTAGAGCTTGATTTTTAAAGACTCAGACTTTATTGTATATAATATGCAATGAGGTTTTATTTATAATTTAACCTACTTGAGTTAAAAAAACACAAGAAGCTTAGGGAATATGAATAACAATTAAAATGGACATTTAAGTGGCTTTAATGTCATGTATTAGCACAGTGTTTTTTTGATATGACCGCCGCTCCACCCCAAACATTGAAATCACAGGGGGTGGGGGTTGGGGGGGGACCTCAACCTAGAAGGAAAACAGTACAATCATTTTTCCAAGGAAAGAGAAGTGAAATAGGAAAAACAAAAACAAAAATCACCAACTCATTTGGAAGGTCATGAAAGGCAAAGAAGAGTGTGCACATCTCAGACCGATTTGCCTCAGCATGTGAATCATTTAACAGGAAAAAACACTGGACTGACTCAGCTTGAGCAGGCTCTTGTTGTCCCTGCTGAGGTCCTCGCTTGGTGTGGCCCCTGCCACTCTCCCTCCTCTCTTCTCACTGTAGGGAAACAGGAAGTCATGTTGATTAATAAGACTGCCTGGGATCACACCCAAGGCCATGTCGAATCTTTACCTCTTCTGGGCTTGGGAAGAGGTGCAAAGATCAAGGGCAAGCTTTTGGATAGAGCGAGAGGCAAGGCCAGAACTCTGAAGAATCAACTCACAACTAACATTGACATAGTTCCCTAGAGTGACCGATATCTGCCAGAATGAAATCTCATCAGTGTCTCCCGACCCTCTGGGTGAGGTTTTATCCCTTATAACAGTGAGACAACTGGAGCCTCAACAGGAAAAGAAGCTTGCCCAAGATTATAGGGTGAGTGGTACTCAGATCTGGACCTTCCAACCCCTAGGGCTGTGCCATCTTCCATTTGTCATGCCTCCTTGATGGATATGGGTATAACATAGGGAGCATTGCCCCAGGTGGGGTCTCCTAGCTTCCTTGTTACAAGCCATTGTCCCCCTTTACCTTTCAGTTGTATTTTGTGGCCACATACAATTAGCTCTTATAATGGGATCATCCCACTCCAGTGTACTTCACTCCTTCTCAGGGAGAAAGTACTAAAGATTATTGCCATGAGGGGCATAATAAGCTAAATGGGTGTTACCCAGTCTGAAAAATCTTAGCGATGTCAATAAGCCACTTGAGACAACAAGGCACCTGATATTCTGTCCTCATTCCTTATCAGTCCTTGGCTTGGGGAAGAGGAACTTTCTGGAAGGAGAAGGACCTTTGTGGAGTTAAAAAGAGGAAGAAGAGTTATGAATTCAAGCCTCTGAAACAAATCAGTGACAAGTTGTTCTGTGGGCTGACAGTTTTCTCTTTACCTTTCCTTTCTAACAGCTATTCATCTCATTGTCAGATACTTTGACTAAAAGTCATGGTAAGAATCAAATGTAATCCCTTAAGTACACTCACCATAAGTTAGCTCCAGCCATACCAAAAATTCTCAGAGTAATTCCATCTCAAATGCTGTGTGTGATCAATCTAATAGGTATGTGAAGTGACCCTACAGAGGAAATTCATTTGATCACCGTGGCTTTGGTTTTCTTAGCATACGCAGATCGCGTTCATTTTCATCACACTAACTGCTCGGTACAGGATTGTTTAAATGGATTGGGAAATCTCATGAAAACTATTAAACTAAATGGTTCTGCTTATGGGCATGCACTTGAGTATCTTACCATTTTCCAGAAGCAATCAGAAACTTGCTTTGAAAAAGCATGGGCATTGGAGGCTGGCTGCTGGCGTGTGGATCCTCATGCTACCATTGTTTTGTTCTATGACAATAAGAACACTACAAAACATTTCTGTGCCTCAGTTTCCTCATTAAATATGGTTATAACAACTGTGCCTACCTCACAAGATTACATGTGAGGCCCAAACAGAGTAATATATAGTGTACCCTGCCTGGCATCAGGTAACTGTTCTCTTAAAATGGCCATGAAGATAATGTAGATGTAGCTTTAAAAAAAATTTTTTTTATTTAGGGTTTATCTATTCATTTAGAGAGAGGGAGACAGCGGGGAAGGGGCAGAGAACGAGGAAAAGAGAATCACAAGCAGGTTCCACACATCAGGCGGGGAGCCTGATTCGGGGCTTGAATGAACTCACAGACCTTGAGATCACTACCTGAGCTGAAATCAAGAGTTGGACACTTCACCAACTGAGCCACCCAGGAGCCCCTGATGTAGATGTAGCTGAACATATAATTATAATTTCACTTATTTAAGGCCAAATGTTCTAGTTCGGTGGAGTTTGCCAAACACAGTGATATCTTTGGGATCTCAAGACCATGGCTTCGTCGCTCCCTCACTTTCATGCTACTTCCTTTGAATGGGCAAGCAAGTCTGTTGACCAACTGGAGACTTTTCAGCAACAGTTCTGCTGACTTCACTTTCACGTGCCCTCAGGGCTAGCAGCCATCAAGCCAGGGAGCAATAAAATGTGTCGGTGGGAAATAAACGAGGAAGAACAAGAACAAAAAAAAGTGGCCTGAGCTCATTCAATGACAATATTTATTATATGGAACAATGATCATGGTTTAGACGTGTTTGTTCTCTGTTACACTGTAAATATGGAAGAAATGTTATTGCTCAATAGCTGTCTGGATTGCTTACGGGGTGGACTTGTGAGGTAGAGCTGTCTCAGGGTGCCTTCAAAATACAGTGACATTTTTGCATTGAGGCTTTCGTGATGAGTGCTGGATTGGGTCAGTCGCGAGTGGAAAATATTGCCACCTATAGGCCAGTTGTTATGATAAAATACCTCATCATGTCCTTGGCACCATTTATCGAACAAAACCTTTCAGTGGGCTTAAGGTTGAGCAGAGAAGTTAAAATGGCAACCAGTATCCCAATCCTAGTAGATTGCAAATCTCAGGGAGACAGTGTGGAACTTTAGCATGAGCTAAAGCTTTGAGCTCAGTCAGACTTCCAACCTGATTTCAACTTAGTAACTGTGTGACTTTGGCACTCGTATTGAGCCTCTATGAGGAAATCATCTCAGAAATACGGGTAGTAAAACCTTCCACGTGGGTTGTTGCGAGGGCTTAATGGGATTGACATTATAATGATCTATATTGTAGATACTCAATAAATATCCTTGCCTTGTTTTATTCGTTGCCTGCCTCTTTCCAGTTTCTTACATGCCATTTGGTAGTCCAGATTTTCAAGGTGAATTATTTTGCAGATAGCAAGCCAGATACTGGAGAAGGCATAAGCTATTTGAGGACTTTGGATCTTTCTGCTAAATGGAGGCCAGGGCCCAGAGTCAGTATTTAGACTTTCCAGTACATTGGTCAGCTGTTTCAGCAAGTCAGGTATACTGAAAGCATGGGCTACTGATGAGTGTTTCCCGGTGAGCTGCTGCATATGGACGTGCTTTGTAAAATGTCAAGGGCTCTAGGATCGTACAGTTGTCACTATCACAGTTGGAAGCATTTAATCCTTTTTTCCTTCTCGTTTTACAGGTTAGGGAGTTGAGACCTGGAAAGATGAAAAGTGATTTTCCCGAGCGCCTAGATCATTGTCCTCTTCAGCATCACAGTAGCAAACATTTGCTTGCCTAGTGCCGACTACTGATCTAGGCACTTCCCACGTATTACTGGTAATCGTGAAATCTTCAGAACAACCTCATGAGGCGGTTTCTATTATCCCCATTTTACAGATGACGAAACAGAAGTAAAGAGAGGACACAGAGCTATTAAGTGATAGGGATTTGAACCTTAGCAGTTGGACTCCAGAGTAGTCATTTTGACAACTATATATACATATGCACATTAAAGAAAATAAAACTGGGCCCAGATGATGAATACAATTCTCTTTATGTTTGATCCTTCCTTTTTCCACTTCATAAAGCATTTTGATTAGTTTATTAGCTTTTGAGACTGTTCTAAAGGTTGCAACAATACACAGAAAATGTATTGGTTACATAAAAAAAAAAAAAAAAAAAAAGGAAATAACTGCCAAAGTCAACCAAAAGAATCTAAAGGTATCTTTGAGACAGTCTCCTATGAGGTTGATGATGGCAGAGGTGAAAAGTGGGTAGTGGTTTGTTCCAAAAGAAATACAAGACATATCTTTTATAGCCTAGATGAGGAGACCTATGAAAACAGAATAAAGTTCAGTAGAAGCTGGGGGAGAGAGAGGAGTTTACACTGACAGGGTAAGAGTTTCAGGTGAGAGATGGAACTGAAGGAGGCCTCAGGGGTGTGAGAAGCTAGAGTTGGCACATGCTATGGCGAGGACGACCAAGGACCCACAAATAACGTCAGAGGAGAAATGGACAAAGAAAAACAAAAATACCAAGGCTACTCAGATCGGAGAAGAAAAGAGCTGGAGAGATATGAAAGCTCACTTTCAATATTTTAGGGTTGTCATATGGCAAAGGGATTAGATTTATATGTGTTGTTCTAGAAGACCGCAGGAGGGCAAATGTATGCAGGTAGAGGGAGGAAGATCTAAAACCAAAATGGGGAGTACCTCTCAATATCAGATACAATGCCAGCATTTCAGCAGCCACAACAGAAGGGATTACTTTCACAATTATGTGGCTCTTGGTCACTGCAAAGACATGTATAAGCATAGGCTGCATTACTGGTAATCTTGTAAAGGGAAGCAAAGCACACAGCACAACAATAAATATTATACTATGTTCCCACGTCATAAAACTTATGTATGTAACATATGCAGACGAAAATACACCAAACTCATAAACACTTGCCTTATATAGTCATGTTTTTTTTCAGTTTTTAAGGAATATATATTAAATAATTTAGGACAGCCTATAATAGTTTCTTTTTTATTTGGAAAGACTTAGGAAGTTTAATGACATTTTCTGAGGCCACAACTAAAAGCCAAGAATTGAATCCGTCTCAAGCCCAGTCTTTATTTCTGGAAACCAGAATCCCACTTTTTAGAGAATTAAGAAGAGAATGAGTAAACATAACGTGGAGGTTGTGGGCACAGAATACGAAATTGTAGATTAGGAGCTTTTCAAGTAGCAAGCAGCAGATTTGAGGAGTGAGACTCGCAAGTGACAAAGGGCACTGTTGAGTCCGTTGGAGCTGGATGGTGACAAAGCAGGGTTATTGGAGACGGATGCCACACCTTGGCAAGTGGCAGATGTGGTATCGAGATAAAGTTGCTGCCTCTCTCTTTAAAAGCCCTTTGTAATTGACAAAAATGCCCCCAAACCAATATTAAGATTTTTTCTATGGTTGAAGCTGTTTTGATTTTTTAGTGACTTCTTATCCTTTTACAGGATTGGTTCCTTTGCAATGAAATTTCCTCTTTTATTTTCCTGTGTAAGCTAGAAGTCATGTTTGGGAATAGATCCTGTGGTCCTGGCTACTTGAGAGTGGAATGGAGTCTAGCCATGTTTAGGGCCAGAAGTGGTCTTAGCTGAGTTAGAACCTGATAACATTATTTGTACAAGTGTAGTCTGCCTCCAAGATAGAGGGAGGTGTTTTATGACCACAGGCTTTATGAATTGTAGCTATAAAATAATCAATCTTTTAAAGCAAACATAGCATAATGTGTATATCCAAATGTGAATTGTCCTTCAGAGCTGTGACCCTTGGAAACTTTTCATACCTACTGGTATAAAACATATTTAAACCTACCAGTGGAAACATCTTTCAGAGCCAATTTATTACACACACACACACACACACACACACACATTATTTTACAGTATATTTTGGGGGCACCTGTGTGGCTCAGTTGGTTGAACACACGACTCTTGATTTCAGTTCAGGTCATGATCTCACGGTTCGTGGGCTCTGTGTTGAGTGTGGAGCCTGCCTGGGATTCTCTCTCCCCCTCTCTCTGCCCCCTCCCCCACTTGCACTCTCTCAAAATAAATAAACAAACATTAAAAAAATAGAGTACACTTTATTTTTAACAGAAAATATTTTATCTCGCTTGATAACCAATTTTATTTCCCAGAGGGACTGGCTATGAACACCTCTTGGCTATTGGAAAAATCAAATCCGTCATTAAAAGACAGAGCGTTTACCATGGAAGAGATAGAAACGTAACAGGGTTATGCTGACTTTGGAGACCCTACACAGAACTGCAAAGTATTTGAAATACATTGAATGCAATACATTGACTGAATGATTTGCTCATTATTTGCCAGTTCCTGGAGAGAGGTTGGAGCTATGGCTGCTGGAATAAGTTGAGAGATACCACGAAAGAGAAGAGGATCCCGAGAGAGTGTTGCAAGTTCTGACAGGTAGCAGCTTCACCTATGGGGAGACAGGCTGGGTGAGTCAGGAAGGACCCCCTCAGGATGTGGATCATCACTGGTACTCTCATTGTTCTTTTTCCGTATTCTTCACTATTCTTATTATCATTTTACTTAGGTTAAATGTAATTTTGTTAAGGCTAACTCGAACCACCATGTAATTCTTAAAGGGGATTTTGATAAGGTTTCCAAGTAGTGTTGCACAGGTTTCTCATGTTCCCTGCCCTCATTACTTTGCAATCTGATTTGAAGTCATTGCCCGTCCTGGAGTTTCAGCAGACCAACTGGGCTCCAGGTACAGAGAAAAGGGCAATCTTTAGGGAGCAAAGGGCTTCCCTGTCTAGTTTCTGGCTCAGAGAAGCACACATATCCACTCTTCATGTGTATCAGATCCAGAATCATCTGTAAGAGCTGGGCTGACTTCAGGAGCAGATGATTTTTCCCTTTCATCTCTAACAAATCATGGTGCTTAGAGCAATGCGTGTTTACCGGTAACAAATTCCACCAATGGGTGTGGTTGAAAAGTTGAGTGCTGTGGACCGAGTGGCTTCAGCTATTGTCTACAGCATTTCCTCCCTTGTCTGGGAGGTTCTGGCTCCTCCGGCAAGGGCAGTTGCAGGCCCAGATAAATGTCTGGGTTTTCTTACTCAAGGATGGGGAGGTGAGGGCGGCGGGGCAGTGGGGGCGGCGGTGGAGCAGGCTTTCTGGCAGGGATTCCACTAGGGGGCAAGTCTATCTTTAAAACAAAGTAAACTGGGGCCACCCGTCTCAGCAGCTAAATGATTTCCGGGTTGATAGGAGGTGAGGACAAGATGAATGGCTTTGGGAAAAGAAACTGTGAGGAGAGAAAGGAAGAAGAAAAATGAGGGAAGCGTCGAGGAAGACTTATGAGCCGGAAGAAACGTAAAGGTAGACGATTTGCTTTTTCAGTTTGGAGCGGAGACAGGAAGATAACCCCTTGGTCCTCAAATAGTAAAAGCCCTGGGGTCTGTTCTTCCCCGGGAGTCCCCGGCGATGATACTGAACCCCTAGGGAAAGACAGCCAGCTTGCCTGAGGTTTCCAAATCCCGTCTTGTGGTGAGAGGCTGAAGACTGTCAGGGCTCCAGAATCAATACCTGTCGTGTACACATCAGAGGTGGTGCCCTCAGATAGGATTAGGCTGTCTGGCCATCGTTTGTCGTGGGTGTTTCTCTGCAAATGTTGTATGGTTATCAGTCCAGTTCACCTGATTTTTTTTTTTTTTTTTAAACAAAACTGCAGGCCATCTTTGAGAAGACCTCAGCCTAAATGGTGGAAATGCATAGATTCATTTGTGCTTGAATTCACACGTAGCAAAAATAGCACACACCAGCAGCGGCTTGTCCTCTGTCCCCATCCATTAGGATTATGATAAATGAGGTCGGAGGAAGGCTGGGTCTGGGTGGTTCCATTTGTGTGTTGGTTTCTTCCTGTCCTCTGGGTTTCGGGTCACCTGCTGCTCTGTGTCAGTAGCAGAGTACTGGGTCACATCCAGCACTGTCAAGGTTTTATGGGTCACTCTCTTGAATGAAAGCTTGATTTTCCACGGAAGAGAATGCTGTCTCTGGCAATTGTTCAAAATGTAGCATCTCAAATGTAGACCCTTCAACTGTGTTTACATGCCTTGTGCAGGCTCTTTCTTTTCTTAGCTTTCAATTCTTCAGATATGGAATATGCTGGAGATGTGACTCCTTTGTTGTTCAAGGGTGATTTGCATATCGTCTTGACTGATGTGCGTGCACAACTTGCCTGTGAGGGGGGCTGTGGTGGCAAGGGCTGTAGAGACATCTGTGACTTTTGATGGAAGGAAGTATTTTCTTACTGAGAGTCACCCACTCCTTAACTCCCTCTAGTCTGTCTGTGAGTTCCATGTTGCCCTTCATGACTGCTCAGCTCAGCTGAATACTGTCCTCTTGCTATTTAATTAAGATTTTGCTGTTTTTTGAAACCCTATAAATGTGTAATCTCTGTGTCTCTGTCTCTCTCTCTCACACATACACATGTAACAGTGAATGACTCATAAATATGAAAAGTAAAATTTTGAATTTTAACTCTGGAAAATCAACCTGATTGATAAAGTACTGATATAATATTTCCAAAGTGGAAATTCATGAAGAAAATAGATTCTTAGGCACCTAGTAATACCAGGAACATTTTACTAGCATTGTCTCATTTAACTTCTAACAACTTTTAAAGACAGGGTATGCTTTATTGTAGCAATCAAGCAACTATAACTTGCCAAGGCCACGGTAAGCACGGGGCCAGGCCAGGGGCCTGCTGATGTCCCACACTGTTAATTATTCTCTATGCTGAGCTTTAGCTACTTTGCAGCTATTTATTGCATTAAATTCATAATCCCACTTTCATCATAGTAAAAACAGCAATAATCACACAACAGAACTATTTGCAGTGGCCTCTGGCCAAGGCCATTTGATCCAGAGTCAAAACCTCATATTTGTATAGTGCTTTTACTTTGTCAAAATCTAATAAGGGTGGTTTTCATACCTGAGGACAATCAAACTGATGTCTATTTAGTATAGTAACATATCAAATTATTAATGGCATATATATTTTAGTCTGTTTCTATGCTTATCATTCTCTCTGTTTTAGAAAGTTGGGGGCTCAAAAATGCTTTAGAAAAATTTCTTCTCCAAGGACAGGAGATGGCTGGGTGTCCCTTTTAAAGGCAACACTTCTTAGTGAGAGAGTGGACATGAGAATTCATGTCCCTAACTGAGAGTTTATTGTCCTTTCTAATAACACCACACAATCTGGTGTCTATCTAAAGGCGTGGGTTCCTTGTCTATTAATAGCTCTACTATTAATAATGTGCAGTGACTGGATATGCCAAGATTTTGCTGGTGTTTTGGAGGACTGAAAAGGTTTCCGAGTTATATCTAGAAAGTCTTTGGAATTTTTTCAACATGCTATATGACTGGCAGCTGAAAATATGACAAGTAGGAAGGAAACGAAAATGCATCGACAATCTGTTATTTGCTAGACCTATCGGTAGGCACTTTTTCTATAATAACCTTGTGAAACTGATATTAACTCTACTTTGTAGGGGATGAAAGGTCAGAGAAATTAGCAATTGCTCCCAAGTTGTACCCTAAGAGTGTTTGAATCTAGTCTGTCCAATACCGAAGCTTTTACACTTTTATTTCCTTGCCGCCATGTAGTTTGAAAAAATCAAATACATAGCATTTCGTGCCTGGACCACCTCAGCAAGAAAACTGGGCACTCACTAAAGTAACATACACTAAAAATAAACACCCCTCTTCCTCCCACGAGCTTCCCAAGGTTGCAGAGAGGAACACTGGAGGTCTCCTAAGCATAGGAATGCTGCCTACAGTAATCTAACATCAGAGAATATCATTCAGATCACTTTTTTTTTTTCTTTTCTGAGTTTGTCTCTCGGATCCCATATATATTTTTTAATTTTTTGGGGATGGAAATTTTCAAGCATACACCACAGTAGAGAGAACAGTATATTGAAGAACTGGGTACCTGGACCTGGCTTCAATAATTTCTGCCTTAGGGCACCTGGGTGGCTCAGTTGGTTAAGCATCTGACTCTTGATTTTGACTCAGGTCATGATCCCAGGGTCATGTGATGGAACCCTGAGTTGGGCTCTGTGCTGAACGTGGAGCTTACTTGAGATTCTCTCTCTTCCTCTCCATCTGCCCTTACCCCACTCTCTCTTTTTTCTTTCTCTCTCTCAAAACAACAATAATAATAATTCTTGCCCTAGTTTTATGCTCTCTATATACTCTATATATGTTGGCATAAATTATGGATGGTGTGTCTGCATTTGATGGTGAGTAGATAATGGACCATACATATGCTTTTTACCTTTTAGGCCCTAGTTCTTATCCCAGTACAGGATGGATATTTTTTTCCTCCAATACAAAGTCTTAATGGGTTATCAGTAACGCCGTCTTAAAGAGCATAATGAGAGACACCATAAACCAGCTATCAAAATAAGGTACAGTAGGAATATAAATATTTCACCTTGGAAACAAAGCAAGGTCAAGAGAAGAGCATGAGGACTCTGAAGATTAGGAGCATGAAAACAAAAGGCCATTTGGAGCCATTCTATTCCCATGGGTGCATGGGTGTTGCTTCCATTCAGGGTTGTTGGGAAGGGCACTGGTAGGGCCGGGCTATCAGGATGAGATCACTGGATTACCTGAGACACGACTGTCCCTTGCCACATGGAGCATTTGTCTTCAGTATTGAAGCTCATCTGCCTTTAGGGAAATGGAGACTCAAGGAAAGAAATGTGTTATACTGTCATTTTTCTTAAATCTTTCAATGTTTATTTATTTTTGAGAGAGATAGAGTGTAAGCAGGGAGGGGCAGAGACGGAGGGAGACACAGAATCCGAAGCAGGGTCCAGGCTCTGAGCTCTGAGCGCAGAGCCTTACGTGGGGCTGGAACCCACGAACCATGAGATCATGACCTGAGCCAAAGCTGGATGCTTAACTGACTGAGCCACCAGGTCCCCGATATACCGTCATTTTTCAATTATCCACATAAATGCTTGAGAACAGAGGCATGGATTATAGAAAATGAGGAAGGTATTGCCATACTTAGATTTGTCTGTGAGGTGTGTCTATCCTGGAAATTCCCTTTAAAAAGCATAGAAGGCCATTCTGTTATAGTCCGTCTCTGTTGGAGCTGCCTTCTTGTGCCACCAACCTTCAGCCACACACCTTCCCTGCTCCCCTCTCTGTCTCCTCCTCTGGTATTACCTTAATGGCAGGTTTTCAGAAAGCCCTGGTTCTTATACTATATACGCACTTAAAATATTGGCAAAATTGGAATTAGGCAGATGAGATTCTAAGAGTTCAGCTGGGATTTTCCAAAGCCATCCAGTTAACAGACTTGAAAGCATTTGTTACAAGTCTGCTCTCAGATACAATTACTGAAGACCTTAGATATCATAGACCTCCTGGCCCATTTTCCTTGGCAACAGGGGTTCCAGCTCTATCAAAAACTTCCTTCCAGCTCTGGTTTTCACATGATAATAAGTCTGTTTCACGACTTTGTTCTGTCTGCTGGCCCCTCCCACCCTGGTACTGGGAAGGTTTTCTTCCTGACATTGTCCTCACAACAAATTGTCGGAAGAGAAGATAAGGTTTTCTTTAACAGCAATAACCTAGTACACTGCACAGGTGTCTGTATTTATGCATCCCATGCAGTGGGGGAAAAGCTTGTGCTAACCTGCCTGCGAATTCAGAATCCAACCCCAAACCAATTAGTCCTTCACTTCACTTGTGTAGACCCAGCATACTTTTCTTGGAGGACTCAATTTTATTAAAAAAGCATAGCACAGGACTTAGGGACACAGTGATTTCCCCATCTCAAATCACCTGGTACTGTTTTTATTTCACTGCTTCTGTTTCTTTCCTGCATAAGTACGTGTGATTTTCTGGATTTGTCCCAATTTTAGTTCAAACAGTGCAGTCACCAAATTTACAGGTGATACTAAGTAATATAAAATATTTTGAGTCCACACTGAAGAGAATTGCCTCTGTGTAGATGAAATAATAAATACGATAAGAATAATAAAAACCAGTATTTACTATGTGTTTACTCTTTACCAGCACTGTATTGAGTGATTTACTTGCATTACCTCTTCTATCTTCAAAATATCCTTACTAGGTAAATTCCATTATAATCCTCACTTCACAGAAAGGGAGCATCGAAGCTTAATGGGTTTAGTTGACGTACCTCACAACAGAAGAGCAGAGCTGGGGTTTGAGCACAGGGAGAATGGTTACCCTGAAACACAAGCTATGGCACGTGGGCATGCGTGCGCACGCGCACACACACACACACACACACACACACACACACACACACAGACACACCAGCTTTTGAACATGGACCCAAGGCAAGATAGCCTTGAGCAGAGGAGTTGTGCCTGAGAGTGAAACTGTAGGGATAAAAATAGGGAAAGGCGTGAACATGGTTGGTTGGGGTTGATCAGGATGGGCCCACGGGGCAAGATCACTTTGAAGGAAGTTAAGGAGGTGAGAAAATAGCGGTAGATATGAGAGGAGGGTTGGTCAGTGGATTAGGTAAATAAAGGTAATGGAGGAGATTTCAAGTCCAAACAAGAAGCTGGGGACAGATGGGGACAATGGAAACATCTCTAGGCTCCCTCACATACTTTAAGAGAAATGGTGGTCAGTTGCCTTGCTTTTTAATAGCAACATGCCGGGGCGCCTGGGTGGCGCAGTCGGTTAAGCGTCTGACTTCAGCCAGGTCACGATCTCGCGGTCTGGGAGTTCGAGCCCCGTGTCAGGCGCTGGGCTGATGGCTCAGAACCTGGAGCCTGTTTCCGATTCTGTGTCTCCCTCTCTCTGCCCCTCCCCCGTTCATGCTCTGTCTCTCTCTGTCCCAAAAATAAATAAACGTTGAAAAAAAAATTTTTTTAATAGCAACATGCTTATCATATAGACTAATGGGAGGCTTATACAGCATCCTGTTTCTGGAGGCTTCCATCTCTCTGATGGGTTAGAATTGGGTTCGTTCCTCTTTACCCACTGTTTTGATCCACGGCGTTTTCTTCCCATTGTACTTTTCTTCTAGACACCTGAGATTTATTGAAAGAAGTGAAGCCCATCTATGCTTTTGAATTTGATGTCTAATATTAATTGCCACATCTTACGAATTATAAATTATTCTTTTTTCAAAGGCTTACTTGAAACATATTAGAGATCTAATGTATATAAAGATAGGAACCTTGTATGCAGGTATCTTCTACAGTCAGTCCTATGAGATTTTATGATCTAACATGTGCTTGACATATTCAATGAAAGGCTTTACCTGCCATGGTTTTATTGGAGCAGATAACTTATCTTTTTTAAGGTACATTTTACTGTGGAGCCAGGATATTTGCTACTAAGGTAAAATGTCATACTTAAAACAATGTCTAAATAGGAAAGAATAATATTTGCACACAGGCAATGTGGTATATAATTGTATTTAGGGCTGAATTATATTCTGAAACACATTCTATAACATAAAACCTAGCACATTTAAAAATCATTTTTACCAAATTCTTAAATAATACTTGTTTACCTTTCAAATCTTGATCTGTTTCTCTGAAGACAAATTATTATTCTTTTAGTTGTTGAGCCTTCTGATCAAACAAATTCTTTTCCTGTTTCACTATAGTCATGTAAAATATTTTACTTCAAAGGAAAAATGCTATGAATTTATAGTGATTTCAGAATTTAAAAATCTGTTTCCTATTTTGTTGATTAAGACAGAGGAGCATTGATTGTGAATAAGGAATATGCTATGTTGAAAACAAAATTAAGGATCCTGATGTTTCTGTGCCAGATAGCACAAAAACTAAAAACACCACAGGAATTTTTCAACATTATTAACCTCTTGACAATGTGTGGGTCGTATAAAGGACAAATGAATGTTTTGAAGGGACCGAGAATGCCTATTTTAACCGACTGTCCAATCACTGTAGATAAATATTTGTGTTCCTGGAGATTATTAGATTTTTATCAAAGCAAATTGAATTGGAAACATGGCATGTATTAAGTCATTGGTGCTTATTGTCTAATTCTTTTTCCCATAGAAGTTTCTATGCACTGAAAGAGCACTAACTCATCGGTTAGACATACCATGTAATGATTCTTATCATATCCAGACAAAATAAAAGCCTTTTAAGAAGCTACTTCACAAGACAACTGCATAGCTTTCCTCACAGGAACTTGTTAAACAAATAATGATTATTAAAGCTTTTGGGTCAATCGCTTACACCAGTTTAACAAGAACAATTCCAAAACGTCTAGCCCATTCCACATTCCATGTGACTAACTATGGTATCCAGAGCTTGGAAAATATCCAGGCAACTCAAAGTAGCTTTTCTCAAATGCTTTCTGGACACTGGATTTTAAGGAAAGTGATATAATTAGGTTTACAGAGAAGAGTCTTCAAGGCATGCCCCTTATGAATCCTGTAAATGGTCTCAATTATACCCGAAAGTTGTCTAAAATTACCCAAACGTGAAAACCTTGCAGCTTTAGTCCCTATCTATATTGGTGTTGGCAAACGCATAGATTGATGTGGACATTTATTTGTATTTAGTGACACAGATATACTAGCAGTTTTGCACAAGCCTCCAATAGAGGCCACCGTGAGTTGGAATGATTAGCTTCTAAAAATGTGTTCAGATTCACCATTCCTTTATGCTTATCATCATGGCATGTTTGGGGTAGAAACAAGAAAGAAGGTTTATAGTGGAAAGGTAGGCACAAGAGAGAAGGAGGACAGGAACTGAGTCAGACAAGAAGGACTTTGGCGGGTTTGGGGTCAAGGCGGATAGGAGCAGCAGTTACAATATCCGGCACGCAAAAGCTCGAGTGCAGGGACAGAGAGGGAGAAGACCAGCTGGTTCTTTAGGTCCCTGTCTCTTGTAAGCAGGGTCTGGAATCCAGAACTTTGGAACTGAGTCAAAAACTCAAGATAAGGGATTTACAATAAAGTGTCAGTAACTCAGCAAACAGAACCAGAGGCCTAGGACACCAGCACTAACAGGCCAGTAATGCAAGGGACCTACATTTCCTGTTTAGACCCCAAACTTGTAACGATTTTGGGAAGCTCAGCGTTTTATTCTGTTTGTTCAATTTATATTTACTAGGCACCTATTATGTGCCAGGTGCTGTATGAGCAGCAGAGGCTATTCCTGAACTAGATAGACAAATGATCTCATTTTTTAAAGGAGACATACAATAAGCCGGTAAATAATGAAATGAACAAAGAAATCTAGAAGAAAATAAATGCCACAGTAAGTCTGAGAATGTGAGGAAGCTGTTTTAGGGAAGAGGGCTAGAGAGAGGGGTAGAGAAAACCTCTCCAAAGAAGTGATATTTGACCACCGAGAGTGAAGGTTGAGAATGCGTAGACATTTGAGGAGCTGGAGGGAGAACCTTGTGGAATGACCTGGAGGTGAAAAGGACAAAAGGAAGACGATTTTAAGAATAGGGAGCAAAGGAGAGGGTGGAGTGAAATGGGGGGGGATAGAGAAATTGACAAGAGCTGGATCATACAGCTGGAGGGGAAAAGCATTTGGCTAGGGTAAGGCATGGGCCAAGTAGTCGAATGACCGATTTGAAGTAATTCACTGTTTCTATAGTTGTAAACCAGAAAACAGGTCAGGAACGCCTGAAAACTCTGCCCATACATTGTGAAGAACTTCCTGAGGAAGTTTCCTAAATTGGACACCAAGTATGAAGCGGACCCCTGGTGCCGGATCTTGGTGTGCAAGTGAGTTTCTGAAGGGCCCGGGGTTAAAAATTAACTCCAGGGCAAAGCACTGCAGTCCAAAACACTGGTGGTAGTAGCCAGAGGGTTTTTTCTTTGGATGACGAAACTGATGGGGCAGGATGGTGAGTCACCCAGCGTGGGCTGGTGTGAAGCAGGGAAGCAGAGCATAATGTGGGTTAGCCTGGGAGGCACATGAATAAATAGTAAAATGGAAGAAACGCAGAAAGCATCATCGTTCGTGTGATTTCCTTCCCTCTACAGAGTCAGAGAAGTCATAGGTCCCCTGAGGAGGTCTTTCAATTGGTTAACAACATACTGTGCCCTTCCTGTGAATTTTTTAGTTAGTACAAAAATATGCTGATAATAATAGCTAAGAAAAGTAGTGGCAACATCTTGATTCTTCTTCCGGGTTAAATTGGGTCTCCCCCAAAGATCTGCTGAGGTCCTTATCCTCAGTACTTCAGAATGTGATCTTTTTTGGAAATAGGGTCATTGCAGATGTCATTAGTTAAATTAAGGTGAGGTCATATTGGAGTATGGTGGGCTCTTAATCCAACCTTACTGGTGTCCTTATTAGAAGAGGCAACTTGGACACAGAGACGGTGCAGAGATGGCCATGTGAAGACACAGACACACAAGGAGAATGCCATGTGAAGAAGGAGACAGAGGTCAGAATGATGTTTCTCTAAGCCAAGGAATGCCAAGAATTCCTGACCATCACGAAGCTAGGACAGAGGCATGGAGCAGATTTCTCTCAGCGCCCTTCGAAGGTACCAACCCTGCTGATCCCTTGATCTCAGACTTTTAGCTTTGAGGACTCTGGAAGAATAAATTTCTGCTGTTTTAAATCACCCAGTATTTATTTGTACAGCAGCCCTGAGAAATGACTACAGTGCCTTCTCATTCTTCTGTTTTACTCTTTTCCACCATTGTCCCTTTTGCACTATTATCCATTAAGACCAAGTTACTTTTCCTACCACTGTGCTCTTTCTGCCAAGAATATCCTCATTCCCTTCTTTGTCTGTTTTAAAATAATTTTAAATAATTTTAAAATAATTATTTTGAATAATTTTAAAATAATTTAAAATAACTCAAAAATTTTTAATGTTTGGGGGCACCTCGGTGGCTCAGTCTGTTGAGCAACGGACTCTTGGTTTCAGCTCAGGTCACGATCTCCTGGTTCATGGGTTCCAGTCCCATGTCGGGCTCTGCACTGACAGTTGCAGAGCCTGCTTGTGATTCTCTGTCTCCCTCTCTCTCTGCCCCTCCCCGACTATCTCTCTATCTCTTTCTGTCAAAAATAAATATTCAAAAATTTTTGATGTTTGGTTATAAAATATTTCAAGCATACACAGAAAATAATATAACAGATTCCGTTTTCTCAACATCTCGATTTATCAGATGACAACTTTTTTTCCATATTTGCTTCAAATCTTTCCTTTTTTACCCTAAAAGGGAAATATTACTGATAAAGTCAATGCCTCCTCTCTTCCTACACACTTCCACTTCCCTGTTCTCCACAATGGTTGTTCTTCCTTAATTGTAAAGTAGCTTGCAGAACATCATGAACATCACCCAGGCCAACTCAACAATTCTGTCTCCTGTTCCCACAGTATTTTATACACAACTTATGTTAAGTAATGATCATATTGTATTTTTGTTTTTTTTGTTTTTTTTTAATTTTTTTAAATGTTTTTATTTATCTTTTTTTGTTGTTGTTGTTTATTTATTTTTGACAGAGACAGACTGCGAGTGGTTTAGGGCAGAGAGAGAAGGAGACACAGAAGCAGAAGCAGGCTCCAGGCTCTGAGCTGTCAGCACAGAGCCCGACGTGGGGCTCCAACTCACAAGCTGTGAGATCATGACCTGAGCCGAAATCGGACGCTCAACCGACTGAGCCACCCAGGCGCCCCTGTTTTTATTTATCTTTGAAGGAGAAAGAGACAGCATGAGTGGGAAAAGAGCAGAGAGAGAGGGAGACACAGAACTTGAAGCAGGCTCCAGGCTCTAAGCTGTCAGCAAAGAGCCCGATATGGGGCTTGAACTCACAAACTGTGAGATCATGACCTGAGCTGAAGACAGACGCTTAACTGACTGAGCCACCCAGGCGCCCCAGTCATATTGTATTTTGATTGTAGTCTTTTTCTCTATAAGAAAAAGCAAATGGTCATTTTCTTTTTTTAATTTTTTTTAATGTTTATTTATTTTTGAGAGAGAGAGAGAGAGAGGGAGACATGGAATCTGAAGCAGGCTCCAGGCTCTGAGCCATTAGCACAGAGCCTGAGGCAGGGCTCAAACTCACAAACGGTGAGATCATGACCTGAGCCCAAGTCAGAGGCTTAACCGACTGAGCCACCCAGGCGCCCTGTCAATAGTCATTTTCAATCATTATCTGGTGCCTACACAATGTTTAGCTCTTGGTTAAACAATTTTAATTACATAATGTCTACATGAGAGCATCTGGCCCTCAGAAGAGCCCTGTGCTTATCAGGACTGGAATTGTCAGTCTTTTTTTTTTTTTCCTGGAAATTGAAACTGAATTTTGCTTGTGTCATGCGCTAGGTGATGTGGCTTGTCCACAATTCTTCCTTCCCTCCTCATCCTTGCTGTGGTGTATCCTGTGTGGAGTATGTTCTCTGCCCCCTGGGGTTGGGCTTGACCATATGATTCGTTTTGGTCAGTGGAATGAACGTAGGCACAAGTGACAGTGTGTCAGTTCCAAGCCGAGGCTTTGGGAGGTTTGTGTGTTTCTGCTTTCCGCTCTGTGGCTCTGCCCTTCTCGAGCAAAACAGATGAAAACATGCCGCAAATGGCAGCCAGTCCCAGAATACGGAGACACCTGACTCTATCCTGAAGGCTGGCTGGAACCAAGCCTCATGGAGCCCCAGCAAATGTACAGACTTGTGAGCAAAAGTCGATGCTTTCTGATGTAGGTCCCTGAGGTTTGGGGTGGGTGTTCCCATCATAGTGGGAACCTTGTTGTTTTACACCTGACTAGTTGATGGTAGGGCCAGACTAGAACACACACTGTCTGACTAGTAATCTAGGGTCTTGCTGCAATTATCCTGTTATTCATCTAGGGATTCAACAAATATTTATCACATTTTACTATGGAAAACAGCACCACACGCCACAAAAACTGAAAACAAAGAGACTATAGTCTCTGGCCTCACAAAGAACAGATTTCTAATAAGGGAAATAGACAAAAACAAGTCAATTTAAACCCGAATATGATGACAAATTCTTATAATAGCACAAAAGTCTTTCTGAGAGAGAATAATGGGTGGGGTGAAGGACTGGAGAGGATGACCTTTATGGTGGCTAAGGTAGGGCTCTTGGAGATGCTAGTGAAGTTGAGCGAGCATATCTTTCTCTCCCTCGAATGGTCTCAGATAACGGCTTCACTTTCTTCATTTTCCTTTATTTGCATAGTGTCTGTCCAACTTGTGCCCATGCTCTGGGCTGACTAGGTGTCCTTGGTTTGCATCCTGTGTTCAGAGAGCTATTGGGTTGTTTCGTAAGTTCTTACAGAAAGAGCGAGAAGGGCTTCATTTTCCCTTTTCCAAAGGGAAAAATCACATCCCCTCCTCAGAACAACAGGCCGAAGTTCCCGGCTGTGAATGCAATCTGATTTCTCTCAGGTGAGAGGTATTCTGTAGATGGAAAGTCAAAGGAAAAATGTGACTTTAGCAACACTGTAGGGACTGTGGTCAGGGCTGAGCTTATAAAGGCCTTTGTTTTCCATGTTTTGATTGGCCCCGGGAGGAGCCCGGAGCAGCCCGCACACCCATCTGTATCCATGTTAGTGGGACTGAAAAGTGCTGACACAGGATTGCAGATCAGGGCTTGCGGCTTGCCAGGGTAAACTTGTGCAATGCACTGTACATCCCTCCTAACAACACTGCCTCTTTTGTCGCTTAAACAGAGGCTGTTAAGAACACGGGTCATTAAAGAGAGCTTTAGGAAAGCAGGCAACATTTTCCAATATTGTGGCTCTAGGCGATCCTCATAAAGTTTCAGCAGCTCTGGACGAAGTGAAGCATTCATGAATGACTAACAATAGTTTGAGAATCATAATCTGAATTGATCAGAAGCAAGTAAATATTTCAAAATATAGCTTCTGAATGAATGTCAAAACAAGTCTATTATTGTGGAGACTTGGGTGAAGATTAAGTTTTTTGTTTTTTTTTTTGATGTATATAAATATCACAAGTAAGAAGGTTTTCAAAGCTTAAATTGGCCTGGGAATCTCTAGCTTACCGATGGAAGCACAAATTCAGACACTGGTTTTGAGGATTTCTTTTTCACATTTTCAATACATAAAAAGTGCAACTGTAGGAATAAGGAGGGGGAAAGGTTCCTATTCTACCAGCCAGAGAAGAATGTGGTTAACATTTTAAAGCTGTTTCTGCTAGCATTTTTTCTACAAGTACTTCTTAAATATTTGAGCTCCTACATACATGTAGTTGTATTCATACACTTTCTTTCACTTTTGTTATTCTTTAAATGTTTTTTTTTTTTAATGTTTATTTATTTTTGAGAGAGAGAGAACACAAGCAGGGGAGCGGCAGGGAGAGGGGGAGACGCAGAATCGAAAGCAGGCTCCAGGCTCTGAGCTGTCAGTACAGAGTCCCACATGGGGCTTGAACCCGCACCTGGGAGATCATGACCTGAGCGTTAGTTGGACACTTAACCGACTGAACCACCCAGGCGCCCCTCTTTTGTTACTCTTTAGAAGAGATCACAGATTGGCCGACTGTGGGCCAAATTTGGTGCACTGAGTGGACACAGCCACATTCATTCATTCACAGAATTGTGGATGGCTGTGTCATGCTGCAAGGGCAGAATGGGGTAGTCTCAACAGAGCCCATGTGGCCCACAAGGCCTAAAGTATTTGCTCTCAGGGCTTTACAGAAACAGCTTGCTAACCCCTAGGATAGATGATTAGATTCACACATGAACAACTGTAAGGCTCTTGTAAACATATACTAAAAGGTTATGTATCCATTGATACTTCTGCCAGCATTTGTCTGATGAGACTACCTTCTTCACCTAAACATGAGTTTGTACTGACGTTTCCAACTGCAATTCATTACCACTCGTATCATGTTAGCGCCTCCCCCAACTCTTGCTTATCTGGATACACACGCTCCAACAGCGAGTAAACTTGCTCCCACAGTCTGCCAATTCCAATATACATGTATAGCAGTATCAGAATCGTTAACCCCTGGGGCGTCTGGGCGGCTCAGTTGATTAAACAACCGACTCTTGGGCTCAGCAGTTCATGGGACTGAGCCCCGAGTAGGGCTCTGGGCTGACTGTGTGGAGCCTGCTTGGCATTCTCTCTCCCTCTTTCTCTGCCCCTCCCCTGCTCACACTCTCTGCCTCTCTCCCTCTCTCTTTCTCAAAATAAATAAATAAATAAACATTTAAAAAACAGAAGAATCGTTAACCCTTGTTCCTGTGGCAAAAGACTTTATCAACTGGAGTAGAGTCCTTATGCACAGTACCTTTTACTGCGAGTCAGAGACCCCACTCATTTCCAAATGTATTTGGTTTGTCCACTGATTTTTAACTCTTATTTTATTACATTTCCTGTCTAGGTTTGCCTCTTGTTCCTTGTTGTCAGTCATGATGTTGACATAGTGATAAAGGGAACAGGTGGTATATGTGGGAGAGTTTCAAATTCTTTGAGGTCATAAAATGTATGTGTATGTGCATGTATTTATCATAAAGCCTTGATCAAGCAGAAAAGCTGATATTAGACTGC